TGCTGTGGCTGTGGAGCCAGCTCGGCCTCCAGGGAATCAACACCCCCTGCCCTGCGAGCTGGCAGCCAGACGGGCTGGAACAATAGTGCAAGTTAACGGAGCAAAACAACCATCGGGGTTTCCTATTAAAAGTATTTTTTATGATGTTGATTATTATTAATATTATATAGGGGCTGTAATTTTCTCCCGACTCACTCCAACATCTCACAAAATAAACAGTTGCTGTATTATCCCCTTGTAAATGAGACCACAGGATTGTAAACTTTAATTTGTTACTTTTGGCTGCTCTCAGGTTTGGCAGACAATTAAACCAATTCATTAGTTCACAGAGGCACATTTTTGGCCACGTTTGGCTGCGTGAAGTCATCCAGTGAACACATTGGAGGCAGGGTGTAGAAAAACTGTACTGTGCCTTTGCCACAAGATCTGTCAGTAATGGTCCAAACAGGCCACTGTGGACTTTTTGGAGGCCCACGTGGGAGAGAGTCTCCTTGCTCCTGTGGTTCTGCTGTGCCCTGGGCACGGGCCATTAGCAGCCCAGTGCCCCTGTGTGCTGGCCAGAGAAGTGGGATTTATTCTGTATCTGACAGTAAAGCAGCTGCATCATGCCTGAGGCTGAACCTTTAAATTCTGCAGAGTTGGACAAGTGAAACTCCATAGGACATGGCAGAAAATGCTGAGCTCTTGGAAAGGCTGATCTGGCCGTGTGTGATCTCCAGAGCCAGCCCCAGCAGCTGAATTAATTCCTTCAATAGCTCGGCTGCTTTTGGCCCCTTCTTTCCCAGCTGCAGATACATGGTCAATCTGCAGAGCCCCATGACAGCAGAGCACAGCTTCTGGCCTTTTCAGGGCCACCAGTGATACATGCTGGGAGTTAAGGTGGGTTTCTTTTAAATGGAAGCTGTAGCAGTGTGTTTTATGGTACTACCACTGCCCCTGTCCAGAGTGGCTTAGTGCAAATCACCCCTCAGATGAGATTCCCTTGTCAGACATTTTTCACTCTCTGTAGTTTCTTAGATGTCCATTAACAAACCAAAAATCCTGAACCATCTTAGTTTTGAAAAAAGCCCCATAAAATTAATGCCTTTTCCTTTGTTCCCTCCACAGGAGGAGGCTTTTTAATAGCATTCAAAAAGGAAGGAAAGATTTTTGAATACTGAAAGCTAAAAGCTTCCCCAAACTAGTTCCTCATCATTGTGTTTTTCTCTGGCCAGCACTTTGAATCTGGATTTGCAGAATTCTTCTGCTTTGCAATTTCCTCTGAGTGATCCCACCACCACCAGCATGTCTGGAGAGCGTCGCTGGGCTCTGGCCCTCCTCCATCAGCTGGAAATGCTGGAGGGAAGGGAGGCTGTGGAAGGGAATGGAGCATTTCTGAAAGCTGGTCACTTCCTTCAGTATCTTGATTGGTTCTTCCCTTTCCTGAAATAATAATACTAACGAAAGTGGTTTTGATAGAACAGTGAGCAAATGCTGCAGAAGAGCTAATTATGACTTCGTATGTGATGGGAACTCCTCTGGAAAGCAGCTGCAGAAACCTGCCCGCCCCACTGAGCCACAGTGGTTTTTTTCCAGGGTTCCTCCTGCTGCTGGTGTGGGGGTGAGCTGGGCCCCTTCTCCTTTGGGTGTCAAACACATCCTCTGCTCCTCCAGCTGCTCTGGGGGGAGACGGAGGCTTCACCCTGCTGCGGGCAGCTGCACTTCGCTGCGTGAATTCCAATCAGGATTTGGAGGAGGAGGAGGAGGAGGAGGAGGAGGAAGCTGGCTGGGTTTTGAGTCAAAAAGAAGGCCTGTATTTTTCTCCTTTCAGCTATTTATCCAGGCGGAGTGCAAAGGGCTGACACCCGGCCAGCAGGGCCCGGCTGCGGTGCGTGTGACACACGAGCGGTAATGAAGCACCTTCTGCTGAACGGCCAATTGAGCAGCGCTGCCTCCACAGCTTCATCCCGGGACGGCGGGTGGATCTCTGTTTTGACACATCCTCGCTGAATGAGGAAGAGAACAAGCAGAAAATGGCTGATGATAAATGCAGCAATTAGGGAAGCTTAATGGAGCAGAAGGTTTTTTGTGAGAAGACAAAGGAATTGCCGTGCCGACACCTGCGAGGAGGTCCCAGCCGCTGCGCAGGGAGCCTCCAGCTGTGCCGCAGCAGCAGGGGCTGGGATGAGGGGAGCCGACCTTTTTACTTCACACACACATCCCTCAAAGGCTTTGGAAAAATATTTTCCAAGTTAGACTTCAAAACATCATTTGATTTTTCTTTTTCTCCATTATGTTCAGAAACGGGAGCCTCTAATTTAGGCCTGGTGTAGCCTTCCCCCACTCCTTCCTTTTTATTCAGTTTCACATAATACAGTGCACTGCTAGGAAAGGCATTTTCCTGACAAAGTACTGATCTTGGTGCTGTGAAAGAGCCGTGGCCTCAGCTGGGGGATGCCACCGTGCTGGACACATGTGGACAAGAAGTGGCTCCCTGGACAATGCTGCTTGCCCACAGCGATGCCCAGCTTGAGGCTGAGCCCATGACCTGCCTGCTCTTCCCAAAGCAGAAGTGCTAAATCTGTTTGCCCAAGCCCCATTTCTCTTTATTTCCTTAGCTGGACTCTCCCCAAAGCCAACTGCTCGTGCAAAGGGGCACAAAGAATCACTGGGGAGAGCTCTGCAAGGGGTGTTGGCATGGAGTCACCCAGGTTTTGGTGATGGGTAATGCCAGTTTGGCCTCTCACAAGACTATTACCAAAATCCCCCAATACTGCAACACAACTATTTTCTTAAGACTTTGGCAAAAAGGAATTTCCTGAGGGAGGTAAGGGAAAGGTTTCCTTTATTTATTTTTTTTTTTGGCTTGGCACAAGCCAAAGAAAACACACATCTTGTTTTCCCCTCTGTTGACGGTTTCTCGGCTCCAGCCTGAGCTGGATCCATCACTGATCTCTACCCCTGCTCTCATTCTGGCACTTGCTGGGCTGCCCGAAGCACAGCTGGTGTGTCTCGCTCCCTAAGCTCTCAGGACATTCCTAACTAGTTGGCTTCTTTTGCTTTCCCTCCCCTGGGCCCGGGCGGGGCTGGCGTTGCAGACCTGACCGTGGAAGCTCAGCCTGCTGCCGAGTCCTTGGGCTCCCCTGCATCAACCCTCTGTTTGTCTAACTCCAGGTCACCAACAGCTAACTACATATTTATGGTATCTACATAGGCTGGAAAGGACAATTCCCATATGCTTATTTTAGGCAATAAAGCTGGCTTTTTAGGGAAGCACTAGATCTTTTTGTCAAGGAACAGTTAGTATTTTTGACAAGTGATCTGAGGATGTGTTACAGCTTTACAGATTGGCTTTTTCCCTCACTCCCTGGTATCCTGGTTGTCTATTTTATTGACTGGGCCAAGAGTGACCCCCATTAACTGAAGCTGGTGCACACATCTTCCATGGAGCCCCAATGGGCACGTGGCATTTTGGACAAAAGGTAATGTTAAGTGCAACCACTGGTCTCCCTCCTTACAGCTTCCTGAGTATCTTTTTAAACACAGGTTGCCTGAGGCAAGCAATGAACCTTCCAAATCCCATCTTTTTCCTCCCACCCACTGTCATTTGTTTGCTAAATTCCACCCTTTTTTGGTGACTGAGGGAAGTCTTTGGGGAGACAGCCAAAAGTAGAATAAAAATGGTGAAAATGGCACAAAATGAAAGCTGAACAGTGGTAGAAATGCATAAAACCCAGGAAGTCCTTCTGTACCAGCTCTTTTAGCAGAAGGCAGCTCAGCTGGGGTGGCTTAAAGGAATAAGGCTGAATTAATTAGTTTCTCTGTTTAGGTAATAATACCATTAATCATGATGTACCATTTTGTGAGAAGGCTGATACTTGACACTGTGTAATTCCACAGGAATCCCACTGTAGTGCAGCATTATTGATGGGTCATCCTCCGAAGGCGTGAGAGCAATGCCTCCTAATACAGTAAATGGCAAACCACAGATTTTCTTGACCACCACAACATCAGTCACGATGAATTCTTCTGGCACCAGGGTGGCTGCAATAAGCAATCCTTCAGGAATGCCAGGGGAGCACAGCATTGATTTAATGCTCACTGTTTAAGTCATACACAGACCAAATGCTTCCAAAGGGTATGGCCCATTTTTGCATCTTTTTCTGAAGTTTGCAGTAACAACCTCCTTGCACACATGTATTAGGAACATGCAGCTATGGACTCTAACAGAGGTTAGGGGGGCTTATTTATGCAGGTCCATGTCAGAAATGGTGTCAAACAAGATCCCATGTTGGACGCTGGCACCAGGAGAATTACAATCCCCCTGAGCCAGCATTATGAATCTTTCTGCTGAGTCCAACACACTTTTCACATCCACCATGTGTTCTATGTTCCTCCAATTTCAGCTGGGAGAGCAGGTGCTGATTTTTAATGCCTATTTTGTTTTAAGCCTCCTTTCATCAGATTAAGGACCCTGCTATTTTATTTTTTCACGCTCAGTAATTTAGTCACACGCAGACTTAAACCCAGGAGCTGCACCACGCTGCCAAACCCCGTCGCCCACCGCTCCGTCGGCCGCAGAGCGCCAGGGGCTCGGGGCACGGCTCCATCCCCGCACACGGCTCAGCCTGGGAAAGCCTGGGGAAGCAAATGGGAGGTGGAGAGCAGCGCTGGAGGCTGGATAACCTTCCCGTGGTGATGCCAGCAGCAGGGAACCGCCACTCCAGCTGCTGCACACAGGCTGTGCTTCCTTTGCTGGCCTTCTTTCCCCTGGCAGGAGATGCTGGATCAGCCCCCAGGATGTGGGGTGGAGATGTGTGGGGCTGGGGGCACTGCTCTGCTCTCCTCCCCAGACTCCCAAATCCCCATCTCCAAAGCGTGTTCCTGCTGCTGGGAAGGATTCACAGGCAGAAGCAAATCCCAGCACCAGCCCCTTCCGCCAGCTGCCTCCTCCCAGCCGTCAATAAACCATTAGCCTCGAGTCAACAGCGCTGGCTACGACACACAAACACTCAACTGCCTTTTTCATCCAAAATCAATGTTGTATTTATCTTCATTGATCTACAAGGAAACTGAATGTTTAAAATTACAGGGGGTGCAGGGGGGAGGACGGGGAGGGGGGGAAACAAGAGTTACAGAGCCAAGAAAATAGTAGCGGATGGCTGAATTAACTAGAGAGAAAAAGCCCAGGATATATAAAACATGGACACTGAAAAATAAAATAAGGGAAGGGGGGATGGTACAGCAAGTAAAACATGGCAAAATTTACATATGGATGAAAAGTAAAATTGGAAATAAAAAATAAATCATGCCAAAAGGCAGTTCAAGGCAGAACCACACTGAAACAAACATTTGCTTATGGTCTTCATGTACTATAGATAATATATCAGAATTTCTTTTTTTTTTTAATCAACCATTAGACTTTTTTTTTTGCACTCCTAAAATTCTACTTTGTCTTGTATACAGATTCCAATAAGAACACTGCACAATTAGCACAAGGGGTCCACGGAAAATTGTCCTTGCTTGCCAGCGATCCTGCCCACAACACAAAAAAAGAGAAAAAAAAAAGGAAAGAAAAAATAAGGAAAGGGTCTGCCGCATGGTACTGTGCCAGTTCCATCTGCTTTTGCCAGCTTGAAAAGTAGGAAACCAAAATTCCCTTCCAGGAGCGTGTGTCTTTCTCATTCCTTGACGAACTGTCCCTTGTGTTTGTACAAAAAAATTCAGTCTCTCTTTTTTTTTTTTTTTTTTTGTTAAACACAAGCATCCTTCTTCCTGTTCACATGCCATTGCCATTCTGTCTCCAGAGTTGCGAGTTGGTTGTTTTTGGGTTGTTTTTTTTAAATTTTTTTTTTAAAACCTTCCTCCCCCCAACATCCACTAAGACCTGCCTCCAAGTTCTTGCATAGTTGAAGTATATATGCCGTACTGAGCTTTCTGAGTGTGAATTTCTGACTGTGACAAGAGTATGAGTTGTAACCATGTTAACAAATAACCAGAGTGGTTCTAGAAACCATTTTTATAAAGTCTACCTATGTTAAGAATTTAATATTGGTGTACATTTATATTAACAGAATATTTACAGTTTGTTTTCTTTTTTTTTTGTTTAAAACAAGAAGTCAAAAAAAATTCCTCTTAAATTTCTGCATAATATAATAAGGCAAAAAACAAACAGTTTTGTACATTATTATTATTATTAATATTTTAATATATATCTGTAACTTCGGTTCCAAAGTACCAAGGTAAGTGATCAATTGGCCTCAGAAGGGAACCTCACAGTGGACTGTAAAACTACAGTATTTCCATAAATAATACTTTTAAGAAACCCTGGGTATTTTTTTCTTAAGGATCTGAGGCCTTTAGAATGCAAATTTAACTAAAAACAAAAGCAAAATTTCTTCTTTTTTTAAGTGAATAAAGAGCACAAAATTAAAAAAAATACAAATCCATTAAAAATGTTTCTCACATTTGGGAAAAAATGTACAAACTTGATATTCTTAACTCATTTTTTTTTTTTAGCACAGAAACAAAAAACAAAACCAAAAATCAATACCTATATATTAAATTCCCATTCTCAGCAACCTTCTTGTTGGAAAGTCCCCAACCCCGTTATTTATGGAAATGTGCTTAACTTCTACAAATTTTACATTAAAAAAAAAAGTTTACAGCAGTGCATTTTGTAAAAGGTTTGTTGTTTTTTTTTTTTTGTTGTTGTTTTTTTTCCTGTTTGTGTTTTTTTGTTGTTGCTGTTTGCTTGTTTTGTTTGCTTGCTTGTTTTATGTACAGGTGAGTTTAAAATTCAGCGCTGGGGACTATCGTGCCTCTACTTCTTTGGGGTTCCTAGAGGGGGAATAGTCCCTGGACTCTGAGTTTGTGAGTGGAGTAGTCCTGCGAGGGGAGGCAGGTCTGGTGCTGCTGGCTGGTACGAGAGGCGGCGGCGCGCTCAGCGCTGCGGTCGGCGGGTTCCTGTTCAAAATCCCGTTGTGCATGGCAGTGGATGGACTCAGTCTGGGGTAATGCATCCCGCTCAAATGAGGCATGAAGGATGGCACGTGTGCCAGGTGGCTTTCGATGGGGGACGAGTGCAAGTGGTGCATTCTGGCACGCTCAAGTTCTTCCCGTAAGTGCAAGCGCTCGCGCTCCTCCACTTGCCGCAACCGCTCCTGCTCTCGGCGGGCTTCCAGAAGGTTCTCGTGGTTGTAGTCGTGTGGTTCCCTGTCTCTGTAGGAACGCTCATGGTCATAAAAGCCAGAGGTGGTAGGAAACCTATGGATAGGATCTGTCCGGAGCTGGAAGTCCATTCGACGGTGCAGGTCTAAGCTCCGGTAGGCATCTCGCAACGGGTCCCTCATCGGGTCCCAGGAAAATCCAGGATGCGGCAGCCTCTCTCTTCCTGACAAAGGGTTCATGCCTATGAGCGGGGTCATCATCCTGCTGCGGTCCAGGACATTCATGTTGTTCATCTGGTGCACGCTGCCCATGGAGATGGGCATGGAGGCAGCCATCGAGTGAGGCAATGATAATCCATGGAGAGTGGGCGGTGGGGGATGCTCCACTGACCGGGAGTGCTGGGAAGGCTCAGACCCAACCACTAGCACATCACTGTCCTCCTTCCTCTCCTCCTTGACTTTGATGTCATTCTTAATCTTCTGGAGGTCGCTGGGAAGCTCTGTCTTTCTCTCCATGTCCTTGCTCATTAGATTGGTAAGCTTCAGGCTCTCACTTAGTGCAGGTTTGCTGTATGGGGATACAGACTGGATTACTGGCTTTGTGTTGTCCTCAGAGGGTCTCTTATCATGGCTTGGAGTTTCCTTCACTGGGGAACGGCTCTCTTTGATCTTGTGTTCGGCTATGGGCGGCTCTCTCAGCCGGTCAGGGTGCTCTCGCTCGGGCTCCTTGGACCTCTCCCTGTCCCCGAGGCTGACCTGCCTGATGGGCTCGCTGGAGCTCTGGCTGTTGCTGCGGATGAGATTGCTGATCTGGTGCGTCACTGGGGCTGATGCCGGCGAGGATCTGTTTGAATGTCTGTTTTTATCCATGAGGTCCCTGTAAAAAGACAGAAGGTACATCCTTGGTTATATGTGAACAAACACATTCTTGATGTTGGGCTGTGCTGTGCTCTGTTGCACACTTTGAGATTGCTCAGGAAAGGATTTGGAAAGCTCTACAAACAACAGCGACAGCTGTGATGCTGTGGTAAGCAATATGCATGAGCTGCCTTTACATACTTCAAAGCCAAAAAAAAGTTAAACGTTCACAAATGTAGGACTAAACTGGGGATGTGGCTGCAAGAATACTATATTCACCCTAAGACCATTTCATTGAGAAATATAGGGAGAGAAGGATTCTAGACAGGTTACTTTTCTTTAAAGATGCTTATTGTGTGCTCATGTGTAAATCTTGCTGCCAGACCTTCTCAGCTGTAAAACTTGCATTCCATTCCTAAAACACAGATCCAGGCACACAAAACAGAAACCTACACAAATGTATGCAGGTCCTTCTTACGTAAGCCTCATTGATTGGAAGCAGTCATAACGTGAAGCTGATTTTCCTATGTAAGCGCAAGACTTTTTGTTGTTGGCAGTTCTTGCAGGTAAGCCAGATGCTTCAGGAGAAACATCCTTGAATCAGCCATGAAACTGAGCAACTGAGCTGCGTTTCTAAAGGACCTACTGTGATAAACAAGGGGTCTGATGACAACATCCATGGTTTAGAAAGAAAGGCACAAAGGTTTACATTTCCAATTGCACCTCTGCCTCTGAGCAAGTCAATTAGTCACAGTTAATCCCACCTTTTTAACAGGGGAATAAATAATGCTCACCTCCTAAAAGCACTTTGCTCTGAATGAGAGACACTTTAAATGCAAAATATGATTGTGTGATTGAGAGAACTGCATTATGTAGCTGAGAGGCTCACTTTGCCTAAGTTTTATGTTTGTTTTTGAGAGCTGTAAGACCTATGCGCTGAAAGCTGGAGATGTTTTGGGGAGCTGTGTAAGTATTTATCCCTTATGATTACATTTGCTAACACAGCTTTCTTTCTCTGTGGTAGTCCTGATTGCTGGTCAAGGATGTGGTTTATTAAAACCATGGCCAAATAGGGATGCCGGGGACAGTTTAAGCTAAATTAATAGAAGTGTAATAGAGCTGTTAACCCCTGTGTGAACACTCCTGAGAGTAAAGTAACCTTGGTCTGCAAATGAATTCCATTAGAGCAAGAAGGGATACCTTCCCTAACTGAACAAAATCCGTGCAAGGATGTCAAACAATTTAACATGTAAAGCAAGAAGATTTTCAGCCTATTGCTTCCATATAATCTTGTTCACAGGTACTGCCTGAAGATCTCATTAAAAGCACTACTGCAAACTACGAACCCCTATCACTAGTCAAGCACACACATCTAAGACTTGCAGGCTGTTATTGCCTACAAAGAAGAAGACTGTTGGAGACAACTGGGCTCTGAAATCTAAAGAGCTTCACAGCTTCAAAATCATATAACTGGGAGCTAATGAAGTAACTATAGCCCAGGTGATACAGGCCTGTCATCCTTAATAAGGATTTGCCCACAATGCAATTTTTTCAAATCAGTTTTGCTAATGGATTCATGCACACTGCTCCAGGTACAGGCATTTGCATTGTTATCTCGTTAATGTCCACCTAACATTTGAATTCATCAGCATATCTGCACATTAATGAGAACTATGACTGTCTCCAAAGGACCCATCACAATTTCAGAATACACAGCAATCCTAAAGCAGCTGCACTGAAAACAACCGAGTTTTCAGCACACTGAAAACACAGCAACACACTCAATTCCTCAGCCTGGTGCATTTTGTTAACCAACTAGCAGGGACTTGGTTATTGTATTTCCACAGAAGACAAATCCTAAAAGTCAAAGAGGAATTTTTTTGGTGTTGCTGGTACTTGTGCTGCTCTGAGGAAAAGGCCTATCAGCTGCTTTAAGGATCAGCAACATTTTAGGTAAAACAGAAAAAATATGGAGGAAAAACAGTCACAGTAGGAAGAGGCCAGAAGCCCACAGTGCTCACCTCTCTTTGTCTCTGTCGTCCTTGCTCAGGGAAAGGTCCCTCTTCTCGGGCTCCCGCTCCCGCTCTCTGTCCCTGTCATGGTTTGTCACCGAGGAGCTCCGCTCCGAATCCGAGGGCTTGGGCCACTGGGGAGGTGTTGGGAAGGACGGCGGGGTCCGGTGGAGTCGATTCCATGGCTCATGGGGGTTATTGAAATTCTGCAGGTTTGGGCCGTCTTTGTGAGTAAAAATGTTGTTGTGAGCTACAATAATGGCAGGGGGAGGAAGAGTTAAAAATAATTCAAAGCAAATCATTATACAGACATTTCTCACAATATTAGTCACAACCAGAACTGTCCTTTTAAGGCTTTTTAATGGTGAGGGGGAGCTACTACTGAGTGGAGACAGATAATTCCAACACTGGGTGTAAGGTCTACCAGCTCTTTTAAGGCTGTTGTTGGAGGAAGCTTTATACATTTCAATAACTCAGAGACTACTGAAAATGCCCAGCTTCTCTTCTCCCCCCACCCCAGGCACGGGCTCCAGCACAAAAGCAGTATTTTTCCTCAGCTCCTCTCTCTGGCAGAAACTTTAATTTGTGGGTAGTTACAAGCAATCAGCTGCCTGCAGCTGAGGCTTTAGGGACTTTTTTTGTTGAAGAACCCAGACTATTTGGTGGTATGTATGTGTGTGTATAAACACAGAGCTTGGCTGTAGGCTTTTCAGAACAGTCACTCAATTTTCCTCCATCCATCTTCAGCTGATTCCTGTTGCACTATGAGATGCACAAGCATGCTCTCTTATGTGCTCTCTTATGTGTGGCTCTCAAGCACGTTTTGCCTACAGGTAACATGTTTTTGAAGTAGAAGTATTTTATGCGGGTAATTTAAACTTCAGCCAACGGTTACAGAGGATGTCTACACAAATTAGAAGAAGTATCAATAGCTGCTCCACTGTGCATCTTTGCTGGTGAAGGGTGTTACTTTAGGTGCCCACAGGGTCCCAGAGCTCGGTGGGGTTTTGCAGCTCCAGTGCCTCTCTGAGCACACAAGGTAGCAACCCTCAGCAGCGAGGAGGCACAGAGAACAGCTACTGATCTCTGTGACATGCAGAAAAGCTCCCACCGCAGAGACCTGGAAATCTTAGGTGCAGTGTTTTCAGATAGGAGAATGGAGGTTAGGAATTAAACTTCTTTAAAAACTACCACCAGCTGCTGTAAATATTAGCATGTGGCTTTTCTGGAAGGGATGTTTGTCTGCAGTAACCCAGCCAGTACTTACTCAGAGCATGACTGCCTAATCCTCCAAAGGCATTGCTGCCTAAGTTCCCAAGGCCGCTGAAGGTGCTTGACCTGCTAAATGGATCTGGAAAGGCAAACAGGGATTTAGCAGGCATTTAGCCAAGAATGTTGGAGAATGAAACGCACCCCTCCCCTTCTTAACGGTTTGAATCCACGTAGGATTAGGCCAGACTTTAAGCTGATCCTTCTCATTGCAAGGTTCTTTGCACAGAAAATTCCCATCATGTTAAAATGGAGAAGGGATTCAGTGCTCACTCTGCAAACAGGTGCTGTAATAAACTTTTGTATTCGAGTCAGAAGTGAGTTAGAAATTAAGGTCTAATAGCTGAAATTAGGGTGGCTGCTGAGCTATAACTCTTTCCTTATCGGTACTAATAGTAGAAACACTGCAATTGCCTTCAAAGAAGAATCTCAGCAGGCCCCTAGGCCAGCATTGAGGAGATGACTGTCTTGTTTCAGTGGTTTTTTTCCAGTAAAGAGGTTCCTCTCTGAGAGCACATAGCCCATCTCAGGTTTCCACACTCCAGAGACATCTATGGGTTAAATCCTACCAGTGCACTTGTTTTCTTTCCTACTGGTCATCTCTAAACAACTCCTTCTCCAGCCCACTGGCTTTTTGACTGTCCCCTTCAAGCCCTTAACTTGCCATGTTACAGGAGGTAATGCTGCTTTCCACTTCCTCACAGATATCACATTTAAAATATCAAGGCAAATGGCACAAATAGCTTGTATCCTTAAGCAAACAGCTATTTGCTTATTTACTTATTTAAAACAGATGTTCTTGCCCTTCCTCTTTGATCTCCAGTGGCTGAGTGACTCGGTAGAGATAGTTAATTTTGACAGAATGCTCAGGAATTGATGTAAATCTGGGTATTTGCAAGAGAAAAAAAGTCTACTAGGTCATGTGGCATGCCACATTCACTGATTGGATGAATGTTACTAAAACATTAATCAACAGAGCTTGAACTTTAATTGGCAATGAGCTGCTTGTGAGCTTCTAAAATGAGGAAATTTGACAAAATCAGGCTCTACTTACTGCCAATTAGGAAACTGAAAGTCTGGCAAAATGTGCAGAACATCTACTTGCCAGGAACTGTTCCCTGAACTCTTTTAAAGAACCTAGTCAAGACCTTTCATAGGTGGAAAATGGTACAAGAGGAGCCCATTTTAAACTGGGGCTTGCCTGAGGTATCTTTGCATAAATTTCCCCCATTTCCTTAGGCACATTCAGGAGCACAGGACTCTACAGGTCACATTTTGGCTCCGGTGCAGTGTCCCAGCAGTGACAGATGTGACAGCTCTGCACTGCCCTCTCCTTTGGGGGACAGTGAGGGCATGTGCTAGAAGCTGGCAGGAATGAGGAGCTGGCCAGCTTCTGGATCCTCAGGCAGTTTAAGCCTTTCCCTCCCCTAGTGCTACAGTGCAGGACCACACTGAGAGCCAGGAAGGGGGCAGAGGTACAGAGGTGAAGGCAGGGTTACTTACACTTACCTGCCAAGTGGTTCGTAGGCAGGAAACTGCTGTGGTGAGGTGAGGGACCAAAAGGGGTGGTGGCTGGATGTGTTGCACCTGTGAGAACAAGGTCCCTTTTTAGCTCAGGGGCAAGAGACTCCTTGTATGCACAGAGCTCCTGGCCATCACATTCAGGAGCTGGATGCAAAGGCCACATTTAAACAACAAAGGCAGGGGAAGACCCCAAAACTTGGCTGAGTGAGCAGCAGGCTGGATTTCCCTGAGAGCCCTACCAAGGAGTCTAACAGGGCACTAGGAGGCAGGAGGAGACCTTGCACTGAGAGCTGCTGCTCACCTGGAGTAACAGGGAAGCCAAGCTCTTTGTCTGGCATTTTCAGTCATTACTCCACGTTTACATGAAAAAGGGCCAGCCCAGGTTATGGGCCCAGACAGAAGGAGCTCGGAAGTGACTGATTAGTCTGTATGAAACACCAGTTAATGACAGGCACGCAGGGAACATCAATCATGCTTCTCCCATGAGAGCTCCAGCTACGCTCTCACATCTGTCTCTGCATCCACAGGCTCCCCTCTGGTGTTTTTCCCTTTCCTAGACACTGCTCATTGCCATGGTGCCACACTTCCTCGTGGGAAGAACACCACTGCTGGGCATGCTGGATTACAGGAGGCTGAGGAGATGGGAAGGAAGGGGGTGAAACAAGCAGATCTGCCCTGTATTTCAAGGTGCACCAGGCTCATGCAGAACACTCTGCTCTTCTTTCAGAGCAGAAAATGAGAAATTTTCTTTCTTTGCAGGCAGGCATATGTGAATCTGAACAGGTTTGCAATCTCAGTGTGAAAAGCACTGGTGTCAGCTGTCACTGGGGTACTTGGTCAGCCCCTGACCTGGCCTTCCTTGGAGTCAGAGCCCAGCCCCTGATGGTTGCTGTGAAACACACTCATGTGTCCAGAGCATGAGCAAACTGTGAAACCTGAGAGGGAGACAGAGCTCTGTATCCCTCACCAGCTTGGGCACCTCAAACCTAAGCAGCCAGAAAATGAGTTGAAGAAACTTAAGAGAGACCACGGCAACGAGACCTATCTAGTACCTCTCTATAAACATTCTGACTGCTCCAATGCTTCAAGACGGATGGAGACTGTCATCTTTCTAATCCTTTAAGATTTCAGAAGGTGTATAATGGATGGGAGATTTCTTCAAAGGAGACAGCTTACAAACTCCACTACATGGGCTGATAATAAAAAATCCTCTGGAGAAAGCCAGGAGCAGCATTGCAGGCTGTCAGGCAGTTATTAAATAGACTGTCTGCCAGGCAGCCCAGCATCCCTCCTGGAGACAGGTGGCCCTAAGATAACTTATGTCTCCCCCAGTAACCAGGCAATGCAGCAGAACCAATGATTCACATCAACTGCACACGTGCTCAGTAAGGTGAAAAGAATGCCTCAGATATTCCAGAGTAAAAGCTTTATTCCTCCACGTATTCCAGCTGCAGTGTCTGCTCACACTCTTTACCTGGATTTACTATCTGATGGCTCTTGTGATTAATATACTCACAGACAAGTTTTTGTAAGGTTGTTTCTCTCTACTGAAAGTTTTCTATTAGTTTGCCTTCTTTAATGTTTATGTTTCATACTATTTTTCCTCTTGCTTTTACGAATGAAAAGCAAGCCATGCTTGCATCTTTTAAGAGAAAAAACTCCAGATACCAACTGGACTGGTGCTTTTCTGCCTGTTAGGGTAACTCTGTCCAGAACAGCCTTCAGTAGCAAAACCAGACATGAAACAAGATTCTTGTAATGATAACACAGGACAGTGATAAGGAAACATCTGCCACAGGAAAACAGCCAGAGGTTTGTAAATAATCAGTGCTTATGCATCCAAGTAGATGCAATAAATATCTTGACCTTGTACTATCAAAACACCTTTATAGTGACCAAAATTCAGGGTAGAACCCTACAATGCAGAGCTAGTATTGATTACATGTGGCAGAAAGGTGCATTTGATGCTTAAGAATCTCCATCCACAGACAGAGCAGAAAGAGACTGAAGCACTGGTGGAGGTCCTGAAGGCTATTTGGCATCTGCATTTGAAACTCTATTCTCACAGAAATTTCAGCTTGATTGTCATCTGTTGCTTTTCTGTCATTTTTGGGACTGAGTTCAAAACAGTTCTAAAGTCATTAATTTCCACAGGATTGAACCAAGGCTGAATATGACCATGTCTGCACTGAGTTAAGGTGATTGTGCAACATTGCATCATGAAACCAGAGTAACATCAGTGAAGAAAATGACATTATTTTCCCATTAATTACATACATAAAAGAGCTAAATTACATCTCGTCAATTGATACAGCTCATTCAGAATGCAGACTCTGGCATCTCAAACACAGAGAGAAAATGTGAAGAAGTTGAGAAGAAAGTTAAGTTTGAGAATAAAAGCAACATTTAGCATTTGGTAGACAGATGCCCACATGAATCCACGCTGGCATCCTGGACCAGAATGGGAGAGCTGCAGTCTCCCATGGTCAGAGACATTGAGAACAACACAGTGAAGGTTACTGTCCTTTGGTAATTGTGTAATTGTAATTAGTTCTCCAACAGATTGGAAAACAATTGATGAGTGTAAACTGTATTTAATTCTTTGGGGCTTTTTGTAAATTCAATGTATCATTTTAAGCCCTGGACTTTGCTTAACTTTGTAACACATACGGGAATTTTCTATTAAAAAACAAACACTTGACAAATACATCTTCTGTGATATTTTCAATGCTGTTATTGAAGTTTTCCTTTTACAAAAAACCCCTTGTTTTCAGAAAACAAACAGAAACTTGGTGAGTGGAGGAGCTGAGAAGACTAACATGGCAAATATAAAAGACTGGGGCCACTTCCAATCCTGTGCAATGGAAATGTTTTCAAGTGTTTTGTCAAAATTGCTTTTAAAAAATCACTCTATGGCCTATTAATCAGGCACATAAGAACCAGCTGCACACACAGGACTGTGGGTCAACTGCTGCAGCTCAGTGATGTGCAGAGGATCCTGCACTGGAGGTGGTGGCAGAGCCCTGGTCATAGCAGTGTCTCTTGCACCTCTTGAACCAACCTTGCTTCTATTTTTGAGGCATATGTAGCTGTAAAGTCATGCAGGACATATACTGAATGTTTTTGTTTTTTTTTAATCAAAAAGGAATGATCTTCCCTTACCTGTGGTAGAAAACAGAGGCCTGGCAAGATCTTGTGGATAATGGAAGCCTGGAAACACTCCAGGGGCGGGAGGTCTGCTGAACAGGTCAAGTTTACCACCTATCTCTAGCTTGTGGGGATCCAGCTGCATTTGCTGTCAAATGATATTAAACCAATCTCATTATACACTTCCTTTTTTATGGGGAAACAAGAGAGGGAGTTAAGGCTCATCCCTCCTTAGCCCTGCCAGGGAGCGTTAGCGAGAGCGACGGCAGTGTCCCCGCTCACGCTCTGCAGGGCCACCCCACCCCGCAGCCTCTCAGCTGCCTGCCCCATGCCCCATGGCAGCCCAGGGTCTGCAGGGAGCACTCAGCCTGCAGCACAGCCTGCAGCAAAGGCTGCAGCAGGAACAGGCACACCGAGTGCACGGCACCCCAGGAGCAGCCGGCGCTCTCAGCCTGACAGAAAATACTCTGCAGGCACAAAGCTGCCAACAGAAGCCTCGAGAGCTGGGTGATGGGCTTGTCTGTTCTGCCTCTCCAGTTTTTTGAGAGAGATGTGCCCATAGTGTGCCCTTCCTGCAGCCAGGACAGCTCAGTGTGCAGGAAAGGGGCAAAGGATGAAGGAAGCTATGAGGCTCCTGCAGAGACTGTTTTTATCCTTGCCCTGTAGAAGTGAGCATGGCCAGAACTGCACCTTAGTCATAGAAGCCTATGAATAGCTTAAAGATTATGTATTTGCTTATAAAAGTATATGGACATACACCCCTTCCAGAGGCACCTACTTAAGCAGAGAACAGCCTTCATTAACGGGACAAAAAAACGACTGCAGGGGCTATGAAAAAATAAAATCTGTACGAGTCCCTTTATCAGCTATTCTACCTGCCATAGGGAGCCTAAAGCCTGCAACAGCACCCCAGGGTACCTACATCCTGTTACCTCTCGAGTGTTAAACCCCCTCCTTCTGCCCACCATCTCAGCAGCACAGGAAGCCACAGAACCTCTAACACTGATGTTATCAATCTACTCTGCTGCTCTCTGCTGTAATGTTCTTCACTGCATTGGCCATTTCATTACCTTCTCCACAGGCGGTACTAATGCAGAAGGGAAGCGACATTAAATGTGCATGCTTTGTAAAAAAAAAAAAGATTGACCGGGGGAAATTACTCTGCCCCTCACTTTCTTCTCCTCTTTCTGGCTGTACACCCTTCCACACAGCCCCTTTGCCCTCAGATAAACTTTACAGTTGCTACAATAAATGTTAAAGGAGTGTAAGTATTAGTTAATCGATACAGGCAAGCTTGAGAATCACCACAGTAACTGCTTCCTGCCCATTACTCACTCAAATACAATCTATAAGCTAAAAGACTTGGCTTTGTTCCAGAAACCATCTGAATTACCTTTATCTTTTGCTGGTGATGGTAGATCTGCCAGGCGATCTGTACATGAACCGCACACCACTTCCCGGGTTTCTGCAGTGGAAAGCACAAGAATTTAGATTAATTTATACGTTAGCAATCTACATCAGATAGAACATTTCATTTCCCTTACTGTCAACCAGGCAACCAAGCAATGAGAAAGGCTGATTACTAAAACGGCACAATGGGTGATCAACATTTTCTGCTGTACTGCAGCAGATGATGTTTAAATTAAGAAGGAAACAGGAAGAATGTGGGATATCTTCCCCATCTCATGGACATCTGAGATCCTGCCTTGTTCTTTCCTACTTGCACTCCCCCCTTCCCAAATTGAAATGAATGGCAGCAAAGAACAGTATGCCATGCTTAAGAGGAAGCAGCTAATGGTTGAGAGTTCTGTTTCTGAAAAGAGCCCTGTTCATTCACCCCTGCTGCACTGCAGGCTAAGTCATGCGTGGTTATTATGGCTACTGGCTTTTGGGGAGGGAAAGGGTAGGGACAAACAATCCCCAGGATGAGCAGTGCCACAGCTGAACAAGTCCCTGTTTTCAGCTGAGCTATGGTATTCGCTGTTCCACTATTTATGTGGAACATCAGCACACTGACCTAGCCACCACGAATCTGTTCACTGGCGAATGTCTGCCCATGCTCACAGTCATTTACTTCTGTGACCCTCATTTCATGCCGTGAGCTATTAATGCACATAAATGGATGCAAAATAAGGCTGGGATTCAACCTAAATGTTATTAATCAGAAGTGGCAGAGAGCTAACTGACATTTTGCTTGAAGTAAAGGATGAGCATAAGATTTTCTACTGGACATGTTAGATTTCAAAAGCACATGCACAGTATTCCAAGTGTCTGTGTATAAATATGTATATAAAATTCCCCACAAACCTTACTTACTCTTACTGGAGGTCTATAAGGGTCTGACACCTATGGAAAAAGCAGAAATAAAACAATCAGTCTTTCTAAAACTAGCCAATATACAGAAAGGTGGGGAATTCCTTCCTCTGAACAAATGAAAGCATTTAGAAAGCAATGTTCCAGAGAAGTCCCCTGTGACAGGGGAAACCTAAAAGGCTTAAAGAAGGCTTAAAACTTCTCTTTCATTCCTTGAACCAAACTCAGCAGAATTTTATGATAAACAAAGCAGCTTCATGCCAGCAACTGAACAGTGCCAGTGCTTTTCTGAACCTCGTAATTATTCTGAAATGGAGCACATAAAAGTACTCTCCAAGCAATACTTAGAGGAAAGACACTGAAGGGGTTTCCTGCCCCATTTTCTTCTGACTTTTGAAAGAAGCCAGTACCTCCCTTTGAATTCATGACTGGTGGAGATTGCTGCCTCACCAGAAAAAGACACAACCTCTCGCCTCACTGCATGTTCCCAGAAGGCCAATTTGCTCACCAGCCTGCTCTCCTTTTTTCATCAGCAATCACTGTGTTTACTGTAAACCCAGATAAGCTGAAAGGAAGTTTATATATTGTTGCCTACCCCTGGAGTCTTCTGCAGCAGCGTATGATGGACTGTGCCTGGTCTACCTGCTACATCAATTGGGTTTGAAGTCTGAAAGACAAGAAGAGAGCGTGAATAATACTGTATCACACCAGTGGTACATTTAACATCTCTATCTGATGTTAACAGCATTAATTAGTCCATGTTTGCACTGTGCTTTGAACACGCATATTGCTACATTAGTGCTAAATGTTATCTCTTACTGACAGCCAACAGCATTTAACCACCATGTCATTTATTATTATTGAGCAGCAGTAACAGTGTTCCAGCAGCACCCCTAAGCGCTGCTGAGATCACACCCCGTTGTGCTGTGCATGTGCATGGGAAGAGACAGTCCCTGCCCCCCAAGCTTATTCTTTAGACAAACAGGCAGGAGGTGGGAGAGAGAACAAGAGAGGTGGCCTGACTTTCTCCATTTTCTAGGCAGTGACCAGCACAGCAGTCAGGAACAGAATCCTTGAGCATCCCAGTCCCATATTCCACACACTGGACCATGGCCCATCTCTGACTGGGGCCAGGTAACACAATGCCTGAACCAGCAACAGCCCATCTATTTGCTTCAACAAGGCAAAAATGAGAAACCTTAGAAGGTGCTTGTGGGTCTTTTATAGCTTTGCATTGTTTACCCCATCATTTTCCAGCAAGAATTAAACACCTCATTGAAGGAATCCCTGTTCCTCCTCCTCCGGATCCCACCTGTTGCCCTGTCCTAATGATCCCCAAGAACTCGTTCATCTCCTCACTCCGGCATTCATCCATCTCCCACTCCCAGAGCAGCTGCACCTGGTGCCTCTGCACAGCTGAGTGCAGAGGGGTTAAACCTCATTCCCCAAGAGATTATTTCACTCATGTTTTAGGTCAAATTATAGCAGATTTCAAACAGTACAAGGCATGAGTATAATCTTGGGTGTAGGAGGGAAGGTAGGTTTTAGTTTGTCTAAGGCTATGTAACTTCCAGACTCATTAAAGAGTGAATTCTCGTGTGTGTATGTGTGTATAGGTAAGTCAATGCACTCCCCAGGCAGATCAGAGCTCTCAGGGCCTCTCTGACAGCTGAGGTAGATATAAGGTGGCAAATAAGTTACAGCTTTCATAGAGGCAAGAGCTTAAAGATCACAACATGTTAATAGTATGGTGTCATCCTGTCCCTTCGTCCCCTGGAGAAAGACGTGAATGCTTCCTCCAGCAAAGTAAACTGAATACTTCTGACCTTTTCAAGTTCTTAGCTTGTGAGAAATGGCCTTCGGGAAACTCACTGAGAAATTTCCGTCAGCCTGGATTTATGTGCAGCGGACTCACACGCACCGCTGTAGGCAAATGACATGGGAAGGGGAAAAACAAACCCAAGATCTCTGCTTTGGAAAGCAAGAAGTGCAGGAGTCAGAATGCTAAAGCCAAATCATCAGGTCTGTAGTGATTATGCAGGCTTTAGTCAAACAGCTTGGGAGGGAGAGACCATGGAAGAACAATGCAGTAGGGATGACTGGAGTGGCTTTGCCAGTTCAGCTCTGCCTCCACTGGGAAAGGGGAAAGTAACATGCCAAAGCAGCAGATCCATTTTTCAACCTATCCTTCTCTTTTTCAGATGTTAGATTGTATGTAAATACTGCACTGTGCTGAGATCAAATCATGTCAGTGATTAACCATGGCACCAGAGTGTGACCTCTCACTGCTTAAACTCAAGCTAGCAAATGTTGGATGTATCTAAAATGAATTAAAAGGTAGTTATAACAGCACTAGGAGCTGCTTAGAAATGTAAAGGGTCTGTGCTCACTTTTTATTTCTCACTATGTAACTTCTGCTTGGCCTAATGCTATTTTACAGTGAAGATGGAAAGTAGAAGAATGTGCCATTGGTGTAGCAGCAGCTCCTCATGAACAGGAAGGAGCCTTCTGGCAAAACAGCCCCGGCTGCACGTGAGCAAAACGTGTCCAAATTCACCTTATTCCTGTGTAGTAGTACATTTAATGTGCTGCTACATTCCTGAAGCTCCTTTTCTTGGAAAATCAAATTCACACCCTGGCTACTCAGGGTCTGTAGGGACTCCCTGCCATCCCTTGCAAGAGTAAGAACAATTAACAATGGCAGACAAACTCCATCAAGGGATGGCCATGTTCTGTCCCTCTTGTTCCTTCTGCTTCCATGAACTGCTCCTTCTTTAGGCCTGCAGCTACCACATACAAAACTGCCTCTGAACAAAGCCATTTTACAGACTCTGCTATTTGTAATGTATCCCTAAAACAAAATAATGTCAAGGATTTGATGGACACTGAGGAAATCATCTGGATTCCATTAAAAGCATTAAGTTAAGGGGGAAAGTTGTAAAAGGTCTTATTTACAGCAGTTGCTAATTACTGACTTCCACTGACATCAGTGAGACTGCTGAGGGAAGCACATCCCTCAGACCTGCCTGGTGCGGATATGGAAATCACCTTCCAAATGCAAACAGGAATGGCCTGGCTGCAGTGCTGCTCCCTCAAGCCTTATTACACAGTAGCAGAGCTCTATGGAAATGCAGTTTAAGATAAGAAATCTCTAAAATCACAGCATGTAAGGAAGCTGAACATGTCACCTTACAAATGGAGTACTGTGCTCCATTTTCAAACAAATGCTATATAGATACAATCCATTATTTCTTGTTTGGAGAGATTTAACAGTTTTGGTACATTTAAAAATAGTTAATAAAAAGAATATCTCTGGGAGGGAAAAAAAAGCAGTGCACATCACAATTTGCCAAAAAAATGGGGGTTATGATGGCAACATTTCCAAATGCCAGTCAGTGCTATTTGTAATGACATGTTACAGCTGCAGTGCACCTTTCAAATACATTATCTCAAAGAAGCTTGCAGGCATTAATCAACCCTTATAAAACCCATTGCAAGATAACTTTACAGATGAGGAAGCTGAGGAACAGAAGGTTTAAGCAACTTGCCCAAGGTCAGACAGTGTTGGAACTGGGAATAAAAATTCAGCTCCTTCAGATTGTTCTACCCATTTCCAGCAGTCTCTCCCTATTGTTCCCACACTTGTGCTGTCAAATTCTCATTGCTTTTTCTCGGAATAAACACAGTTTATCTTTTGCAATCTCAGATCATCCAATGTATAAAATGATTTGGGACTCATTGGTCTATTATGAACTGCAAATATTTCAATCAAAATAATGCACTTCACTGTATGTTCTCCTCCAGTTTCAGCAGACCTCCCAAGTGAACCACTACATCCTTTCCAAGGAAGGATCTGCAGTGCCAAGAGAGAATTTCTGCTAAAGTGTTGGCTGCTTTGTGCAAAGGATGCTCACAGTTTTGCGGGGTGATCCTTTCCAACCCTGTGCTGCACTTCTGCTATTCAAATCATGTGCTGCAAAATCACCAGAGGCAAGACTCTGAACACAGTTTCTCTCCCAGAAAAAGAACAAAGCCTTCAGAAGAAGAAGTTTGTACCTTCGGTTGAAATGCTCCCTGAAGTGACCCAAAGGGACCTGAATGTGGAAGCATGGGTGGCATTCCAGGCATTGCTGGAGGATAGGTTGGAAAGAACTACAAAAGAAAAAGAGATGCTTATGTCACAGGATGACTTGAACAATAATGGAGGTAGGTGCCAAGCCTGGCACATACAAAAATAGTACTGTGCTAAACAAGTGCCACAGTGAAAATACACGATAAATTTGCTTTCAAAATTTTTAAGAGCAAAGCCAAAACTTGAAAAATGCACTCATCTGACAAATTTTTGAGATAGTGCTGAATGAATGTGCCTTTAAAAATTGTGGACTATTGCAGGAAGCACAGAGCATAATTTGGGGTTTATGTTCACTTTCCATTAACTTTGCATTTTTCTGCTGTTGCAAACAAATTGATCCTGTTTTGAAATGTGACCTGCTTTAATTTTTAAAGCAAAAGGAACCACAAGATGCTGCGCTGCACTCTAACCACAGGCAACATGCACACCACCTTGTAGTTGTGTAGGCTGGGTGAAATTTTGCTTAGGCCTCTCCTGAGCACACACAGCAGTCTTGCAAGTCCCAAAACATGTAGTTTTTTGTGCTTTGGAGCAGTGGGGAGCACCAGGAAGAAACCACCAGTCTGACTTACTCCTGTGACCTGAGCAAAACCTTGTGAAAGAGCCATGCACTCCGGGCTGCTGCACTGGGAGAAGCACCAGCTGCAAAGGTACTGCAGTGACCACTGATTGAGCAATTCCTGCGCATTCCCTGCCATCCCAGGCACAGCCATACAGAGCCGCAGCAGCAAAAATGCAGGAGACAGAGAATTAAAAAAAAAAAAAAAAAAAAAGCCCAAAGAAAACTTGGTACCTTAAAAACATAAAATTCAAGACAGAAAAAAGAGCTTTAGAAATGAATGGATCAAAACACTACTCATCAATTGAAAACAAGCAAAAGAAGAGCAAGCAGAACCATTAACAAAGAAACCAAGGAGGAAGGTGAGCACTCACGTTGGAATGTCGAAAGTAAGGGTTGTCTAATTTGGGAGCGTACTTGTCAAACTGGAAAGAAAAGAGAAAAAAAAGGGAAACAGGTGAGTTTGGTTTTGGCAGTAGCAGACACATCAGGATTTCAACACAGACAAATAATCATGGCCCATGTGTAAGCGTTTAACAGAGCAGAACTGACTGGTTATTCCACACTCGCTCATCGGGGACATGACTGATTTAAGGAGAACAGAGAGGAGCCCCCAGGCCACGCTGGGCATTGCCAAGGCTCACTGCAGAACCCTGTCTCAGGCACTGCATGAACAGGTTCCTGCTCTGGGAAGAGAGCAGTCCTGATACTGCAGCACAGTGAAACACAGGGAAGTTCAGCTCCAGGTCCACATCTGGGATTTGCCCCTGGATCACTGAACTAGATCACAGACTAGTAGGTAAGAAACATTTTCAATTAGACCCAGCATCTACTGTGGGGCAGCCAATTCCAATTCCCAGTTTCCTGGGTTCCTGTAAGCACCAAAATTCTTTGGGAAAGGGCTGAATTACTTTAGATACACAAATCTCAATATATTCCCCCCTCCCCTGTAAAAGGGAGAGTTCCCCAGAGAAAAGGTGGCTGTAAACTTTTTCCATTCCAGCATGGGGTTTTAACACCTCCATGTGTGTAGTCTGTGCCCTGTTTGTCCTGTACCATCTTGGAAGAAAACCCAAAGCACACACACACTGCATTTCTGAACAGTATGTACATTCTGCTGGGGAGGAGGGAATGGGAAGGAAGGCAGGGAAGGGAGCTGTAGGACCCCAGGAAAAACTGCTTATTTGGCAAGTCAGCTGCTGTTTCACACTCCTCTATGTGCAGGAGAGTAGATTTGTAATTTCATTAATTACAGTTATTACTGGAGCCATGTCCCCTCCAGTGTAAATACCGTAAATTACCAAACACATGCAGCTGTAATTTCAACACCCTTCTCTGGTGTTAGGATTAGCAGACCTGATCTAGTGGAATATAAGAAGATGTGAGTGAAATATAACAAAAGAGCCTTGCAAGTTGTTTTTGGTCTGAGGGCTGACATCAATGGGCACGGGTGGGGGGAGAGGGAGCTGTTCAAAAGCTTGGATATCACAGCTCTTAAATGACACAGGAGACTTCTGAAAAGATCCAGGGTTGTTTTACACAGACCAAGCAAAGAAGGGAAGGTGTTTACACACAAGTATGCTGAGCAAACACCTGGGGCTGAATTTTGGGTGGATGATATTGCTTTTAATTGTCTCGCTGCTAAGCAGATTACAACCCAAGAATGTCATTGAACAGCCAGCAGTGGGAAAGAAAACTGGGAAACACTATGCTCCTTGAGTCTTCGATAGTTCTTCCCAAAGGCTGCTTTTGCTAGCCTTAAACAGGGTTGTTTCTGCATTTTGGACACAGTGTGAAACTGAGAGGAGGAAAAAAGCTCAATCTTGTGCTTTCAATCTCACAAAGTAATTGCCAGAAATGGGGAGAGAGTGCATTTTAAAGTACTGACAAAATCCATTTGTAGCAGACCCCTAACAATTTTGTAACAGCTGCAGCAAAGTCCCATTGTGTTACAAGCAAATTCAATGACCAAATGCTTATTACATGGCCAGGAGGATCTCTCCCAGCAGAACCAGCCACACACAGATTAGTGCTTGTTGATGTAATCAAGTAATAAAATGGCTAAATCAATACAGATCGGGTATTAGGAGGAAGAGGGACAGAACTGGTATCAGACAAAATGCTGCACTGTGGTGAGAGCTCTGGGTAAGCCAGCACGGTCTGCCCTGCACCCAGCAGTTGTGGAGACAGTGTTTGGGGCTGGAAGCCACCCATCTTGTGGCATCCTGGTTGGTGTCATCTTTTCATGTGTCAAGGTATCTGGCTCTGGGAAATGGGGAAGCGAAATACACAGCAGGACACACAAAAAGGAAAACAAAGGGATTCTGGACTTGTCTCGTGGGTGCTGTATCTGCTCATGGGTAGCAGCACGGGGGACCAGGAGGCTTGGTGTGGGGGCTCTGGGTAGAAAGGGGTCCCTTTGGGAGTGCTGGCCTCCAGGTGGAAAGGGCAGGGACAGCACACCTGGCTGAAATGAAGAGGGCTGGGTTTTGTTTGACAAGAGCGGGTTAGGCTTTTTGACCAGAGATGCTCTACTTATCCTCACATTTTGGGCTGGGGTACGCACCATGGGAGGTGCAGAGGGCGGCATGAGCGGCGTCTGGGGCAAGCTGGATGGAAAAGGAGTGAATGTGTGCTGGTGGGTGTGTTGGTGCTGATGCGTGTGTTGGTGCTGGTGAAACTCCGCTCTCAGCAGCGGCACCGGGCCAAGTGAGGCAGCGGCCCGGTCCGAACTCTGAACCAAAAACCGGTTGTTCAGCTCTTGCCTGAGCAGTTCGTGATCTAGAGGAGAGAGAGAGAGAAAAAAAAAAGACACAGAGGCCCGTGGGCCTGTGAGTACCACAAAGACGGAGGAGAAAGAGTCAATATTCACCTGGCATTCCCTGTTTCTGCAGGTCATGCTGTGGTGGTTTTCTACGTGAGGACTCATTGGTGGAGGTAAGAGAGATGCCTGTGACAAAGTACCAATCAGAATCCCCGAATGAGGCTGGCAATACATGATTGGTTGGTTGAATGATATCAACAGGCTGGTATCTAAAGACAAGAGAGAACACCATGAGTCATCACAGCAGAAAACATCATCGGGGCTGCCCGGCCGCCCGCCCGCCCGCGCCCGCCCGCCGCTGGCCTCCCGGCAGGCACCCGCTGTGTCTGCGAGCATGCCCCAGAGAGCCAGCCTCACCTCCGGGCTCACGCCCCAGAGAGCCAGCCTCACCTCTGGGCTCATGCCCCAGAGAGCCAGCCTCACCTCAGGGGTCCAGCCTCACCTCTGGGCTCACACCCCAGAGAGCCAGCCTCACCTCTGGGGTCCAGCCTCACCTCCGGGCTCACGCCCCAGAGAGCCAGCCTCACCTCTGGGTCACACCTCAGGGGTTCAGCCTCACCTCTGGGCTCACGCCCCAGAGATCCAGCCTCACCTCTGGGCTCACGGGAGCTGCACCTTCCCACACCAGTGAGGTGCTGGGGAGTGTTCTGGAGGCCAAGAGCTCACTTTAAAATGAGCAGTACTGACCTTCATCCTCTGGGTGTGTGACATTCAGAGGCGCACACACACACACACACACACAGAATTGATGTGTGTTAAGCTCTGACATACAGGTACTTCACAGGTAAAATTTTGCTAAGATCTGCAGTGCAATGAGAGAACCGTGGGTTTGGGTGGCTGGAAACTGCCTGCTTGGACATCCGTCCCTGTGCCATCCCCACTTCTCAGCCCCAGGACATGCATGCAGTGACCAGAAACATATATCCTATAAATCAAGGCCTTCTTTGCAGTAGGGTTTTTTTTTTTGAGATCTTGAATAGCAAGCAGTCCTTTCCTAAATTTGTAACAGGCTGTAATTCTTGTTTTTTGTCGTTGCCTCCAGGCTTTTCTCCTCTGAGAAAATACAGAGGAGGAATCAGTGGGGAGGGGACAAACACTGAAGTGCCTCAAGATCTCATCAAGGTTGCAATGACTGCTGAAACAAAATGTTCCACCATATGACGTGGCCTCTTCTCAGCATCTTCCCCTGGAATAACAACTTGCATTGAATGTGAATGTGGTTCAGGGCAGCGGAAGACACCTGTGCTTTAGAAATAATGTCACTGAAGACAATAAGGACCAATGTCCACTTCTCCAAAATGTCTGCTGATATAATTAAATCTATTTGTGGCTTTGCTTTAGAATTTCAAACAGGGATTAGCATCCAACATGTTATATATTTTTTAAGCGAAGAACAGCCTGTGTCCCCAGCTGTGGATGATACAAACCCTGTCCTGACTGATCTACTTGATTCTGATTTACATGAAGCCACATCTTTCACTTTAACAACCCCCTTAAACTACAGTTCTGAATATAAAGGGGCAAAAGAACACCTGCACTTTAAAGTTTTATTTCATGTTCTGCAGGGATTTCTTTTACTTCAATTTTTTACAGTAACATCAGAAATGTCTAAATCAATTGCTTTCTGAAGTGACACGGTTAAGATCTTTAAAAACGGGCACTCTGATGGTGAACTTCAAGGTCTCAACTACCACTTAGAAGACTACAATTGAAAGTTGCACTTGAAAGCAAATTTTGGGTGCCTAAGTCTAATTTGCTTTTCAGTAATAAATGTACTGCTAAGAGCAGGTACTGTGTACTGCTACAATCCATATAATAATTAACACAAAAGCAGGAAGTATATATATTTGTGATACTGAAGCCTAAAGCACTGGAGCAAAAGAGTCTATAATGAATTCTCCTTGGATTGAACAAATAATAAAAAAACCTATAGGCTGAAAGCACTTAGGTCCAAAAACTAACCTCTTTAGAGAATATGAGCATGATTTCATGTGTGTGTATGTTTACGCTTTTAAATCTGGCATGACTTAAAGAAACTGAATCCTTCTGTTAGCATCAAGATAATCCACTTTTCTGGAGGGAGAGATAAAAGCAAGCTGGCAGTTTTAAGTGCTCTGATATCCAATTTCTTTAAGAGACTGGAAGTCAGACTGATAGATTTGCAGCTGGCTCCAGCCCATAGCCCTCTACCACAACTTTGGCCTCCGTCAGGAAAAGAAAAGGCCCGGAGATGTTTGGAGAAGCTGAGTGGCACTTGGAGGAGTGGCTGCTTCATAGTAAGGATGGAATTGCAAAGGAATAGCCCAGCTCTGTGAGGGGTTCTGAGCAATGTCTGGATCAGAACTGAGTTCTTGTACTTGCCAGTGATGTCAGGTCCAGTCACACAATAACACAGCCAGGAGCAGGGTGCTGAGCAGCCCTTGGGACCTGCCAAAACTGTCCTGCGTGCACACATGAGCTGGGCATGGCACAAAAAGGTCACTCCTGCTCACGGCGCCCTCACATTCAGGAGAGGAGAGACACAGACCACTGTTTCCTCTGTGTATCCCACCTCAGGGCAGCCCTTGAGCAGACAGCAGAAGCCCAGGAGGGTTAGGAGGGTGGCTTAGGAGGGTTGCTCCTAAGTTATTGTATTAGCTTTAGGTTTCAAAAGGAAGAAATGCCACCAGAAGTGCATTCTTGTCTCACTCTTCAGGGCTGCTCAGCAATTATTGTTTGCTTTTAAGGAAGTTTTATGTGAATGACAACAGAAGCTCCTGGCTCTGTAGCGCTCTGTATTGATTTTATGATGTGCCATTTTACAGGCATTTCATATAGTGCAGACAAGAGGCATTTCACTGTCTGCAGGGTTAGACACCCAGACCTTTCCCTCCACTAACTTCAGCTTCTCCTACTTAAATTGCAGGAGAAATCCTTTTAGTAAGAGCAAGACTGTTACTGTTTCCTGGCAAGCTGCTGAATGTGAATAGGTCACTTGATCTTGCATCTCCTGAAGTTAATGGTGAAAACACACTTGCTTTCAGTGACTGCAATATCATGCTTTTAGTGAGCGCTCTGCTATTTCCTTTTGCTATGCTTTCAAAGTCTCCATCACAGTAGTCCTTCGCCTTAAACAGGGGAAGCAATGAATGGGTCTCCCACAGCGCTGCCAACATCTTCCCAGCCATGTGGTTGAAATTCTAGATGGTGCCAGGGCTCGTGACAGCTGCCAGCTTTGGCCTATGTGGTCCTGTCTCTGGCAGGGAATCCACAGCACTATCATCGTTCTCAGAGCTCACTTTGGACCAATTCGTACTTTTTTTTTTCACTTAGAGAAGCAGTAATAAATAATGAGACATTATTTAGTTCCTGGAAGCAAAAAAGGGAGATGGAAGACCATCAGATTTTTCCACAGCAAATCTGTCATTTCCTTATTCCTTTAACTGACTTCATAGGAAACAGAGAGTGTGTTTTTTGCAAAATGCTTGTCCTATTTAATCCCTGCTGAGTTAGTTGTGGATTCAAATGCCAGATCAAAAGGAGGCCCCAGCAAGTGAAAGTTGGTGGGAAGTCTCCAGCTGCCAGGGTCTCTTCCAGGGACAGCTGTAGGCTAATGGATAAGTATAAACAGGGCATTTAGGGCAGAAGTGACAATAGAATGGGGGCCAGGGTGAACAAAGGAAACTTTTTAAAAGGATGCAAAGATAGTGAGAGTAGAACAGCAGAGCTTGTCAGCTGAGCTGTCTCAGACTGAAAGGCCACAGAGCCATGGGCACAGAGCAGTTGTGCTGCTGCAGGCAGAGGATCCTGCTCTGCCAGCAGGATGTGCTGCTGGTTGAAGATCAGGCAGGGGATTCAGTGACATTCAAGTGCTTGGTTAGAACAATTGTAGAAATAGTATTTTCTCATCAGTTCTAACAGCAGCAGCTTTCTTTGGAGAGGGGAGAGAGAAGGGGAGAACAGCAAACTGCACATCACTTCTCTGTTAATCTAAAAAATGTCTGATAACCGTGGAATGCCACACTGGAGAACTCATGCCCTGAAACAGGACTTTTTTTTTTTTTTTTTTTTGAAGACTTCCTACAGAAAGTGATGTGTCTACAGTCTCTCATCTGGTAAAGCACGTCAAGGTCTCCTACCTGTTTCATGAGCACTGTCACAGTTCCAGCACACACTGAGGGGTCTGTGTCAAGGTATTTCACCTGCCTACCAGCCAGCCCATCTCTCCACACCCTCCAGTGCATGCACGGCCGATTAGCCCTGGAGAAGAAGGGACCTACCCGCAGGGTGCCCTGGTATCACGAGGCTGTTGGTGGGTAACGCTGGTGGAGGTGGCAGCGTGGGTGGGGTGGCGAACATGGCCGGATGGTGCTGGTGCTGGGTCTGCGATCTGAGAGAGAAGTGCGAGGTAGCAAGATTAGAGATGGAGAGGGGCAGAGCTGGGCCGGAGGAATGGTGTGGTGGAATCTGGGGAGACAGGGGCAGGTGCTTCGGGAGGCTGATGCTCGTTGCACTGCTAGCACTGCTGCTCCGGCTGCAGAGAGAGACGGGAGGGAGGGGAGAGAGACAGACAGACAAAGAGTGTGTTACAATGCAGGACTGAAACGGTGCAAGAAACACTGCCAGAGACAACTAAACTATGGAACATTGATCTCCCCAGGCTTATGCTTTTGCTTGTCTTAATGGCAGTGGAGATATTTAGTGAATCTTAATGAATGTCTCCAGCAGGGCAGAACGGGCCTTGGGCTCTCTGGAGGGATATCTCCTCCAGTGCTACAGTCCTCAGAGCTATCTGCAAGTACTGATGAGGGCCACAGAGACAGCTGGATTTTGCACCTTAATGGAGCCTCTGATGACCTTGCAGTGCCCATGTGGATCCTTGTGACCAGAGGACACAGTGACACCAATTCCTTTTTCTGCCGCTCTGGGCGTGCAGAGCTGCACAGCACGAGTGACTGGGACCCTGCTGGATCTGCTGCACATGTGCTGTGCAGTTGTAGTCACACAAGCATGCAAATGCACACCATGTTAATAATTTTTCCCATTGTAATTTGTATTTTACATCTTCTTCTATTATTTTTACCCCATTGCAAGTGATCTTAAGTTTTGTGGGCTGAAACACACTACCACTGCAGTTATTAGTTGTGTAATTCCCACAATACTGAGTATCTGTTGCAAGCTCAACCTTAGAGAGATCTTGAATAGCTTGAAATATTATTCACCATTTATACTAGGGTGGCATTTACAAGCTAAAACCACAACAGAGCTTAAGTATGCAGGATACATTGAAATACACATTAATGGCAGCTCTCTGTATTCATATTCTGACCTTTGTGCTGTCAAATATTATGCTTTAAATCAGTTTTCTCATCTTGTTTAAACTAGTCTAGCTCTTGCTTGGGAGGCAAGGCATGTTTTCTGTACCAGCAAAAAGACTATACAGGTTCCAGTTGACTGACTAAACTCTTTTCTCTAGAAACATTTTATCCATACCATTTTCACCCACCCTCCTTACTGGATGGAGGCAATTTAAACAGCAGAGCTAAGCCTCCTGCAAGATCTGAACATGTCAGATTGAAGCAGATTTTTCAGCCCACATGGGAACCCTGGTCTCCAGGGACACAGCATTTTCCAATACAGATCACAGAATATACTGAGCTAAAAGGGACCCACAAGGATCACAGTCCAACACAGATATCCCTCTTTTGATGCTGGTAAGCCAAAAAAACCTGAGAACCATGAGCAATGGAAGTATTTCTAAATATGGGACAAAGTGCTGCTCAAACTCAAACCACCTTAAATTTCTAAGTCAAGAACTAGCCAGCTCAGACAAGACCATGCAAAATTTTACTTGAAACTGGACCGAAAGGAGCATGTGCCTTTCTCCAGAAGGTGTGCATTCATCCCCTCATTTGTCATGTTTCAAATGCACTGATCCACCACAGCTGGAAAAACCAGCCTGGAGTCAGCCCATGAAATCCAATATTCAAAGCACGGACCACCTCACCCCAGGTGAGTGCTCGCCTTGCCTCCCAGCAATTCCTACCTATTGGAAACCAGCTTTAGCCCTGCAGCAGGCTGAAGATGAGGTGAGCATCCCTTCCCCCTACCTGATATTATTGAGTCCGTTGTGGGCCACCTGGTGATGCACTTGGTAGTTGAGAGGCGGAGGGATGTGGCTGGGAGGTTGGCTCCGGAGGTCGGGGATTAACTGAGGCTGCGACTGCGGCCGAGGCTGAGGCTGCGACTGCGGCCGAGGCTGCGGCTGAGGCGTGAGCCTGGGTGGTGCTGGTGCTGAAATCACTGGCTCCTTCTTCAGCAGGGGGCTTGCTCTGGCACTTGACGTGGGCGCTGAGGAAGTCGAAGTCACGACGGCAGCGAGTGGCTGGGGGCTGGGGATGGGCAGGGCGAAGGGCACGTCGGTGCTCAGCTCCCGGCTCCGCTCTAGCCCAGACACCTTTGGGACATTGGCTGCTTTCGCTTCTGGCTTGTCATTCAAGGTGGGACCTTGTGGAGCAACAAGAAAAAGAACAAAGCGCATGCTGAAAGGTTTGCCTGTCTTTCTCTGCTTGGTAGAACATATGCCTGGGAAAAAACAAGTCATGTTTCAGCTCGTGGGAGCGCCGTGGGAGCAGCGCTGCTGCAAGATGGATGTGTGTTTGAGTCTGTCCTTCCGCTGTCCTTGACCGGCCAGTCCACAGCACTTTCAGCATGTGTGCAAGAGACTTAGCTGTCACTAAATGAATGCATACTACAGAGAACATACAGCTTTGTGACTTCTTCGGGGCCCAAGGTTATGCACAATAGGAGTGTGAACATGTCTCAAGTTACTGCTACAGTATTTCCTGCTCAATGTAAGTTTCATGTTCGTGAAACACAGGCCTCATCATTAAGAGATTTCATTTTCTCAATGCCCTTTCAAGGTAATCCACATTGGATTTAGGCTCAACTCCAGCTCCAATGCACCAGGAGCCAAGCATCAATCCTTAATGATAACCCTACCTGTCTTCTAGGATGGAGAGTACCCGGGATCTCTGTAGCAAAGGATGAGACAGAAGCTGTAATGCTGCTGTCCCCTGGCCACACACTTGTGTGGAAGAACAGAACACAGAATGCTACATTTGGGTGCCCACTGACAGAAGCTCAGTGGGCACCCAAGTGTAATTCTGCTCACCCTAAACAGTGCAAACGCTTGTATGCTGAAACTATCAGGAATGTTGCAACCTTGCAAAATGCACCTACAGAGAGAATTTCATGTAGAATTACTCCTTCTGTGGTGCCAAACCCTGCCATTTTTCATAATTAAGCTAAACAGCATCCCAAAGAGTTAAAAGGCTGGAAAGGAAAAAGGGAGGAAAGGAGAGATATTTCAGATCAAGCAGTATCCAGAAGGTTGAAGACAACTGAAAAGACCAACATGAAAGCAATTCAACTCCCACTGTAACTCCCTTTTCCCCATAATCTGTGGATCCCTAAGTGCACACATACCCACAATTACAGGAACAGCTCTTCATGGGCTAAGGGGTTGTTGGTGTGTTTCACACGCACACATCCCACTGTGCACACACTGCACCTCTGACTTTTAGGGGACACACTTTTGTTACCCACCAACACGTGCCGGAGGCTGCTGGCATTTCTCTGCCTTGCAGACACGCAGGAGATGCTACCTACACTCATTAACATGCTCCCAACACCCTCACAAACAAATTCCACCTTTGAAATTCTCCCGTCTCATCAAAGGACCGAGCCAGTTCCTGATGTAGGAGGGTGTGGAAATAACACACAGCACACCCTGTGAGCTAATTCTGGCCGTGCAGATGCTCTGACCAGTGTTTGTGAACCAGCTCATGCGAGGCCAGAGCCCCCAGTGCCACTTCCACAGCCTGAGTGCCACCGTGCTGGCATTAGATGGGAGGAGGACAGCAATGAATCAGAGCCTGCAGCACACCAGCTCGTGTTCTGTACCCAAAATGCCCACGTGGTGATGGCATCTCCTCCCTTGAGATAAAAGGCAGCTTCCCACACTGCTGTTGGCTCTGCCTGCACTCTCACCAATGCACCATTTCCCTCAGCCATCAATCAATCAGCTCATCACTGTATATGCAGAAATTCAGAATGCAAGAAGAGGACGAATGGAAACATATGAACTATATTTATCAGCTGAAAATGTCTTGAGGTCCTGGGGCCTCAAACCCACAAGTAACAGGAACAGAAGCCTTTCCAAGCACCAGTGTTTTGGCTGGCAGCAAGTACTATCAACACTGCACTTTCCAGCACCTTATATATCTTTACAGGTTTGACACAATGTCTGGAGATCCTAAATTAATCTCTACAATAAATATAAGCCTTTCATTTCAGTGAATTTCTTTATCAAATATAAATTCATGCATCACAGGTAACCTGGTCGTGAGCTGTAGCTAGACTTGGTTCCAATACTATTCAGAATTTATTTTTGAAGTAAAATTCTCAATGCTTTTGCGCATCATTATTTTTTATAATACGTTTGTAAATTTTCCTCAGTTTTTACTGCTAACAGTTGAAAAATTGTCATTGCCTAGTCAAGCCAGGGCTCCCAAAACTGCGGTTTGGATCAAGTGTGTTCACAGCTGTAGATTCCACTATTTTTCAAGAGCTACCCATTAAAAACAATTGGGTTTCATTCCTGAGCATAGGTTTCCTCAGAGCCCATTAGCTCTTTGCATCCAACAGGCTTCCTCCAACAGAGTCAAACTTCATATTGTATAATTATAGGCAATGTAGACTAATGGTGTATATTCAAAACACACTGGCATCACCAAAGTTAGTTGAGTAAAAAGTCAATTAGATCCAAAACAAATCAATAAAGTCCCACATTAAAAGCAGCTGTTTGACCAGTTTTATGTGCAGCTATTGATTCCCTGTGGTTTCAGCATTAGTTCTTCATTTGCAATTTTCTCAAAGCAAAAGCTCAGTCTCCCTTGCTGGCTGAATTGACCAGCCAAGCCCAGTTGTGCTAGTTAGTACTGGGGTACTTGACTAATTCCTGCTGCCAACTTCCATCTCTCAGGATGCAGTGCTGCAATGTTTTTGCGTTTCATTCTCGACAGCAATGAAAATATCCACATGCCAGTTTCCCCCTCGCCAGAAAAGCTACAGGCACGAGTGGGAGTATCTTCTCTCCTATTGCAGCCATGTTGCACAAAAGCAGAAGCACTGAGAAGGGAAAGATATGATGTGAATTCATGGGCAAGTGGGGAAAAACATCTGAGAGAGCAATCCCCAAGCCTTCTCAGGCATCACACAGGAAGGGGAGAATCCTGGTGCTTGGTAACTTTGTCATTTTTCCTCCTGATGGCCACAATGCACACATGGAAGTCTCTAAGCTATCTTTCCTGAAATCCCTCAGAAAGTTAATGATTTTAATGAGGGATGTTGCCCATTCTGATCAGGATCTCAAACTTTGTAGTTACTCTGCAGAATACTTGAATGTCCCTCCTAAAAGAATTACACTCCTGCATGCCCAAGCTCTGACCAGGCTGACTGCTGCTCAGATATGGAAATATCCCAAGGAAAGCAACCAAATATTCCCTTTTGTGCAAACTGGATCAGGTTGCATTGAGATCCTTTCGGAAATTTCTGTTCTCGGGCTGCTAATCCAGCCCTCCTGAGCAGATGGACCCAGGGAGCTGAGCACAACTGCCCCAACAAAAACACAGACCCACCCAACCACACCACAGTGTTCTAGAGGCAAAAATGTGTTTATTTTTACCGAGTCCTAGAGTAATTTTCATGCTTAATGATAACAGGCTGAGCCAATTTGCCTAAGACTTGACAGTCAGCTCCAATAATTCAACCTTAATTAAACCTGAACGCATGTCAGTTCAGCTTGTCCCTTCACAGGAAATCTGACATTTGTAATGATTCATGTTCCAGCCATGCTACGGAAAGGCTGGATCACATCTGCCACTCTCCACCGTGCAGAGCACTACCCCTTCTGAGCATGCCAACTTTTGTTTATTTTCTAACCAAACACCTTGGACTTTTTCCATTGAGAGGTTTTCTTAAATGAACAGATAGTGAAACATGTCTTGATCTCACAGGGATGAATGATGACTGAGTGTGAGAGACAGGGAAGGAAAGGCTGAAACTGCTCTAACAAGAAAAAAACCCCAACAACCTGAGATTAGTAATTCTTACCTCCCTGATCGACTAATTTGTTCATTTGGAGTGCTGCAAAAGGTTAACCTCCCTATGTCTTGGGCTACATCCAATTCCTACTTCGACTGGTAAAGAAAACTTAACAATTTTTAAAAGCACAGAGAGCTTTAGCTCCTGCTGTGTAAATCTGCAGAAACCGGAGGTGAAGTTTAAGGGAAACCCCGAAGTCAACAACAGCTCAAATTACTGTATAAAGTGTGCTTCAGGAGGAGTTAGCCGAAGCTGAGAGACCATCAGCCATGACCCCATCTGAAAGTTCCCTGAATTCCGAATCTGTGACTGGAATAAGCGTGCACTGCCCATCCCCAAGGCTGCAGAGGGTGACATGCCTGCCAGTGTGTAACTACACGGCACTGCAGGCTAAGCACAATACAGAAAGTCCCAGACACAAATTAAACCTTTCTGTTACAGGAATTTGCTTTCAAGCTGATTAAGAGTAGCTCAAGTGCAAGGGATTAAACATGTAAAGGCTGCTTTGAGAACTCCAATAAGCAGTTACTGTGTTATACAAACAGTACTTAGGGTAACAGCAGTTCCAGCCCTGCCTCTTGCTCTTTGCAAGCTGCTGGTTGTTGCTGAAAGGGGACTGTCAACACACGTACAATGTGATTGGAAATAATCTAATCTTGCTTGCATGCCTTTCCTTTGTCTCTTGAAAAAAAGAAAAGTGAAGTCATTCAGACGTCTTTCTGCAGCCTCTCTCTGCAGTCTCCCTTGCTGCATTCAAACAGCAAGGGTGATGGGGTGATGTGAGAAAGAAATTCCTCTCCTACATCCATCAATGACATCTTTACCAATGGCAATTTCCCAAGAAACACAACAACCACCATCTGTAGCCCATCTATCCACCCTGTACATATCCTTGAAAACAGACAGAGGCCAGACTGGCTATAGTGAACCCTGCTCCATATTCCAGCAAGAAATGCTAGAAAAGCAGCACCTCAGGAATTACACATGGGAAGAATCTGAGAATTTCAGAGCAAGTTGATGAGTCCCAGAGAAGAGTTTGGAAACATCAGCAAGGGAAGCGAGTAAAGAAGAGCAGGACTTTACAGCAGCAGGTCAAAACAAAGAAATAACTAAATAAACATCAGTAAACATTTTGTGGGGTTTTTAAAAAAAGATATTTTAAATTGAACTTCTAGGCTGCTGCATAATGTATTGTGGATATGGAACATATCATAACCAGAAGAGAGAATAAAGCATTTTGCTTTGACAATGATAACACTGATGCTGGTAGAGTGCTTACAAGTGAAAATCAATATTTAAGTGCTAATTCTTTATCCCTAGATGGCTTTTGCTTTTATATA